GCAGTGACTAATCTCCTCGCTACGTTGGAGGCACCTCAAAGGGTGGGATAGCTGGCCCCAAGATTTAACGCGGCTGCATATACGTTGGAGGCACCTCAAAGAGTGGGATAGCTGGCCCCAAGATTTAACGCGGCTGCATACACAAGGTAGGATTCGAACCCCTGACCTTGCTTAAGCGTGGATCAACCCCTACCGCTGAACCAGACGCTTGGGATTAAACAAATTATATATGATTAATATTATAATATTATTCATATATTTATATATTAATACTATTAGTATATTTATAGTCATATTAATAATTTTATAATATAAATTATTTAGTATACGTTAACATATATTTATAAAAATATAAATATATTATATGAGATGAATATATTAGGAAAAAATTAATAAGAAATATTAATATATCATTTTACTTCATTAGTGTCGCATCAAAATAAATTATTAAAATTAAATAATTCAATACTTGAAAAACTAAAATTATTCAATTAATATTTAAAAGACTAAAATTACACATATGCAATTATTGAAATATTCAAAATGCATTTAAAATTTTTAATTTTATTTTCACAAAACTTGAATTAAACTAATTCATTAGAGATGATTTAATTCAATTCTTTTGATATATATATATATATATATATATAAAATAGAGGAGATTAAAATTAATTGGATTGAATAGCTATTTCTTTTAACCAAAATAATGTTATACTACTTTCATTTTTATATATAAAATTCTTATAACTAAATTACTTTAAAAAGTTTTTTAATTTAGTTAATAACATTAAATTTATTAATAATTTGAATTTGAATCAATTCTAACTATCATATTAGTTTGAATTTTAAAAAATTATAAATCCAAACAATATAGTTTAAATATAAGATTTTTATTCTCAAGAATTGAAACAATCCAACCCATCCAATTAAATAAATCTCTTTATTTTTTTATATTTTAAGAATATGTTTGGGTTGTGAGATTTAGTGCTTGTATGATTTTTTTTATTGATTATAATTGATTACAAACTCTTATTATGAGTATATGATGAAAGGATAGTGTGTCTTGTAAGCTACTCAATGTAATTTATTATTTTTTTATTTAAATAATTTATTATAGGTCAAGTTAAATTAATTTTAAAAGTTTTTTAATTTAGTTAATAACATTAAATTTGTTAATAATTTGAATTTTAATCAATTCTAACTATCATATTAGTTTGAATTTAAAAAAAAATTATAAATCCAAACAATATAGTTTAAATATAAGATTTTGATTCTCAAGAATTGAAACAATCCAAAATAAATCTCTTTATTTTTTTATATTTTAAGAATATGTTTGGGTTGTGAGGTTTAGTCCTTGTATGATTTTTTTTATTGATTATAATTGATGACAAACTCTTATTGTGTGTATATGATGAAAGGAAAATGTGTCTTGTAAGCTACTCAATGTAATTTATTAGTTTTTTACTTAAATAATTTATTATAGGTCAAGTTGGTTCATGTTCAATAGGTAATAAATTTCTTAAATTATTTCTAAACTCAATTATAATCAATTAAAGAAAAATTACCTAATTCAACCCAATGACTCAACCTAACCCGCAAAAATATAATTGGGTTAATTCAGATTGGATAGATTCGTGGGGTGAGTCATTGCACATTCACACCCCTAATTAAATATGTAAGTTAATTGTATTTAAAATTTATAATGTTTTTAAATTTGTTGAAAAATGATATATATATATATATATATATATATATATATATATACATATATTTAAATAGGAGAGATCTATTTATTATAAAAGTAAATTTTGGTAGAATTATTTTACTAATAACTCACGTTCTACGTCAAATTTCAATAATGCAATAAAATTTTTAAAAAATTAATGCATAAATTAAGTCTACATATTTTTAAAAATTTAAAAATTATTTAAATTTTCATTCATTAATTCGAATGGATAGATATTCCTAAAAATATTTTATATGTTGATTTAAACTTATATAAAGAAATATTAAATAATTTTTAAATTTTTTAATAATTTATAGATTTGTTTTAAAATAAAAAAAAATCCCTCTTTATTTTAGTTGTGATATTTTGAGATTCACAAAAATTAAGATAATTATTATGATGTAAAAAGTATATAAATAAAAATTGTAATGATGAGCCCTTACATTAATGATATTAATTTTAGTTCATCCTTTCGTCCTTTTCGGCGGCCTTTTGTAAAGCTATGCAAAAGTAGCTCATGATTAGCGCTAAACATGTCTTTTAATATGTACATAGGTCACGCTCGAGTTTTTTTTTTTTTTTTTTTCTTTTTTTATTTCTTGAAGACCTTTTGTAAAGCAATGCAAAAGTAACTAAAAAGAAAAAAAAGTACTCTTATAATGATTTTTTTTATAATTTATTTTTTTTCTTTATTTTCTCCATTACATCATTCATTTTAATGCTTTTGTAATTTTTTTCATCAGCTCTCTTCCGAGTTATATAATTTATTGTATAAAAGCATTATTTGTGTCGTTATAAATCTAAAAAAAACTTGAAGAGAAAGAGAAAATGAAGGTTATTGCACTGTCATTAGTATGGATATTCTAAATCCAACTAACTCAAATAAAAAAATTAAAAATCAACTCAAATATAAAAAATTTGATAGAAAATAAAAAAAATAATGATTGTTTGATTTTTTAAATATTTTTAAATTGTATGAGTTGATTTGATTTGGGGTTTGAAAATGTGAAATCGGCTGAAACTAAATGAAACCACTATATATAAGTATGTTTTTCTTTTCTCAACACATACCTTATTCAAAATGACATAAGTTTAACGTAATATGTACTAGAATGTAAATTTATATTTCAGCAACACTTTTTTCCTTTAATTTCAACAGCAGGCAGCCAAACAAGAAGTAATATATATCCCCGTTTTCCAAGTCTTCTACAACTCAAAATGGGCCATCCCAGTTGGGTGCAAGTTTTCCTTCTGATGTGTCTCTCCGTTCTTCACCTAACAGTCGCCACACCAAGTCACTAACTCAGAAAGAGCAAGGTCGAACTCGCGTGTTATACTTTCTGGAAGCTTGGAGTTTATACGCTTCTTCGTGGATCTGAGCTTCCTCTTTAAACTCGTCGATCAGGTCAAGGTCGGCCGCTATCTCCTAATCATTCTGCTTGCTGTCAAAAACTTGACGTCGGTGAGATGTCTCCCCGACTTCTACTAGGATCATTGCGTCAGCTCCGTAAGTTAGCCTGTAAGGCGTTTCTTGCGTTGTTGACTTGGGGGTGCAATGGTATGCCTAGAGGATGCTGGGGAGTTTGTCAGCCCATTATCCTTTGGCGTTCCCTAGCCGTTTCTTGAGCTCTTAGAGTATCACCTTATTGGTAGCTTCGGCTTGGCCATTGGTCTGGGGGTGCGCTATCGAGGTCGGGAGGTGTTTGATGCCGAGCTCACGGAGGAAGTCCTCAAAGCTTTGTGCGATGAACTGCCTGCCATTATCGGTGACGAGGGAATGATGGATGCCAAACCTGCATATGATGCTCTTCCAAGTAAATTTTTGCACATTCTCGGCGGTGATCTTGGCAAATGGGCACGCATCGATCCACTTGGTGAAGTAGTCAATTGCCACCAGGAGAAACTTGAGTTGAACTTTCGCGGGGGGGAATGGTCCAAGGATGTCCATTCCCCACTGGGAAAAAGGCTAGGATGACATCATTTGG